GCAGCCAGTTCATATTATTGACAGCGACTGCAACTTGCAATTGGAATAATTGATTTTGATTGACAGCGGAAACGTTAAGTATTATTATAATTTTATCAAAGCCTTTGAAGCGGGCGGCGGTAGGGCGAACCGTTAAGTTCGACCTACCGCCTCTCTCAAGCAGAAGCCGTGGTTCCGTGAAGCCGTTCGAATGCAGGCTCGCACCTCTTAGTTTCTGGGAATTTAATTTAAAATTCACCAAGGGCTTTCGGTGAAGGAAAACGTTGTGATGAAACCTACACGTCAAATAAGGTTCAATATTAAAAAGGTTACAATATTAAACCCTCAGAAAACGTGTGAAGTCTCTAACTCGCATCAACTAAAAACTCGTATAATGTTTTTCCCTAATTTCCTTAAAGTGGTCTTTTGAAGCTTAATAACTTTACCTCGCCGGCGTTAGCCTAGTGGTGTCAAATAATTTTTATGTACACAATCTCTTATTCATTACGTAGTTTGCACTCTGCTTGGTCTCGCGTCTTTTTAAATAAGTGTCACGCAATGATTTTATACACTATTCTAATCAAGTGTTTTAATTTTCACACTGGCGTAAGAACACTACACGCCCCCCTTTTTTTTTTTTTTTTTTTTTTTCATTTTCAAAACTGAATCCTTCGATTTACTCAAGTTTTAAGATCATTGGAGTAATTACAATCTTGATTTGACCCGAATACAACAAATAGTTTAAAAAATCCAAAAGGTTCAAAAGGATCCAAAACCTACAGCTGAAGTTTTCAACACGTTTTTGTGCTTTCGATACAAGATGGAAAAATCGACATAATTTTTAAACGACTTCAAAAATGGTGGTTCCTAATTCGCCTGTATTTTTTTCTTTGTGTGTATATTGTGCTTACTCCGACATTTGTGAACCTATTTCGACGATTCTTTTTTGTTGGAAAGGGGGTACCTCAATAGCGTTCCTATTCAAATTTGAAGAAAATATTCCACCTCTAAGGACGGCAAATTAGGGGATGAATCCGGTTTATTGGATTTCACCTACTTTCTACTAAGATTATAATCATTTACTATTGTGAAAACAAGTTTTTTTTATATCAAGTGACGGGACGAACAAGTTTTGCGTCTGATGGTAAGCTACACGCCTGTTCATAACAGTTGCAGTGCCACTCAGAGCTTTAAATCGCAAAGTTTCGTGTGGCACTGCCACTGCGCTCGTCACCCTGAGACTTAAGTTGACAGGTCCCACGTAAAGTCTGTTCATACATATTATGTGCTAAAGAGTGTTACTGTCATTCATTCAGATCCAATAATATAAATTCATAATTATACGTTGAGAGATATTTTACCACATTAAGCGCGTTTATGCACTGAATCCGATTCGTATTCGTTCCAAACCTGAGACTATACAAATCTAAAAAACTCGGCCATACTTTGGATGTCGCTTGTGCACTAAGTCCGTTTTAAATCCGAGAAAATACAAACATCGCTTGTACACCTAGACATAAAATGATCCCTGTGATATTTCGTATCGTCATTTCTTGGATTCGGAACGTCAGAGGTTATAAGCAAAACGCTCAAACGGGCCAGCTAAGTTCTCGTATGGACACTTTCCAGGACTTTTCAACTTTTCCACTTTTCCAGGACTATTGGTCCATTGAATGTTTAATGCTTCTTACATAAAAGAAAATAGCTACATGTCACTAAGTCGTAAAAACAACGTAACGGTTTCCCATAAAGCCGAATGTATCCTTAAAAAATGTTTACGTTTACGTTTTGATATTTGCGCTCTGATTTACACTATTCTATGCAAAATTTTAGGTATTTTTAAACATATCCGATATGGTGCCAAGTTACAGGACGAACAAGTTGTGCGCCTGATGTTACATGTCTTTTTTTTAATCGTCACGCCTGTCCATAGTAGTTGCAGTGCCCCTCAGAGTTTATTTATTTTCAAAATGCACACCAACAGCATGTGCATTAATACATTTAAAGAACTTGAGAGTAAGAAGAACAAAATCCGATACACAAGCCAATTATAGGTGTACACAACATTCAATACTAACAATTAGAGGCCGAGTAAACTAATACATGAATATTAATAGTAGAAACAATCAAAATAAATCAACAAATTAAAAATTAAACAAAATTAAATAAAAAGAAAAGAATAGACAATCACACAATTAATGAATTGGGTACTCTCGCAAAAATGTGTTTTAAAATGGTGGATTTGCACTTTGCAAGGGAATCAAAAAATATATCGAGGTCAGGCAAAGTAGCAGAGACGAGACACAGAGGCATATTTAAGAGGTATGTTTAGAGGCATGTTGTGTTGACGACATTGGTTCTACAAACCGGTGGATGGAACTACCGAGTGATGGGCTTCCGGGGTAAGTTATACGGAACTGATAGTGAATTATGATGAAGCAATTCTTCACTCTTTAAGGTTCCGTTAACACATTTGTGTAAAAATAGTGCATCATCATCAGTCTACGGCGATTCCGCAATGAGCTCATTTTAAAAAACCCCAAACGCTGGTCATAAGGGCACCTATGTGAAATATTTAGATTAAAGTTTTAAATCTCAAAGAGTTTAAAAATTTAATGTTCAGAGTTCAAATCTCAAAGATGTGACTCTAACTGACACTGCACCTATCAACATGAGTCGTAAGTTTTCAAGTCCCATGTCTGTAATTTCATCTGCACTCTTACTTACCCTTAAAACCGAAAGACAATGCTCACATTACTGCTTGTCGGGAAAAATAGCTAAGATACTGTAGTAGAGTCGGGGAC